AAGTTGTTTGTTTACAAAATTACCCTTCACTTTATTTAAACTTTTTAAATATTTCTTTGTGAGCTTTAGTTATTCATTTTTTAAAATAAAACTTTTATTTTATTTAACTTAAATATTTTTGTTTATGTATTCCCATGATAAGTACCATGTGTATTTAAAAATATAACTTTTTTCTTATTTAGCTTAAAAATAGAACTTCCCTCTTAAGTTTATTAAAGAGAAGAAAATTTATGAGAAATCAAAATAAAATAAACATAAGAATTAGTCAAATAAATTCATAAATAAAAATTATATTTATATAGTATAATTTTTTAATAGAAAAATATTTATAATTATCATAAAAATAAGGAGTAGTAAATATTATTATACATGGTATTAAAAAAAGTGTAAATATACATAAATGTAAAAAATGATGTATAAAAACGATTTAAAGGGACATATTTGTCATTTACCTATTTTATCTCGGGATAAGTTATCCTGGGATTACTATACCACCCATGGGGAGGGATAACTTATATAAGTTTCCCACCAGAGTGCTCTACCAAAGTCAAGAACATCCCAAGTCTAGTTACACAATTATACCACTTAAACTTGTCAACAAAAGCTTTCTCCTACCAACTCTATCACGATTCAAAAATAGATGTGATGGCACTCATCTTATCTAACCAAGATAATTCAACCTAAAACCCAAACATCACGATAAACTGCAAAACCAAAATAAGAATGAAAGTTTAACAACAATTAATAATGCGGATAACAAAGTCAACTCAATTAAAATCCCCAAAACCTGATTGTCACGTGCACAAACTTCTAATATATTAAAATAGATTGAAACAAAACATAAGTCTCAAATGATGTTGTCTCTAAAGTTAAACAAAATCTTAAATAATCGTAAGAAGGTCCGTCGAAATGACAAATAACTACCTCACAAATCTCCACAGAAAGCCTCAGACAAGAAGAGAATAGAAAGTATCACGAAGATCCGAGTTCGTAACCTACACAAATGTGGAAGCAAGGGGTGAGTATCAAACAACATGGTACTCAGCAAGCGAAGTCCTAAACACAAAGCCAAGAATATTAATGTGGTTACTCTTTACACTCCAATAGAACCTCCATAGCTACAACCTGCATAAAATCATCCCAACCTAACAATTTACAGTTTACATAGCACATAGTTTAATAATAACACTCCAACAATTACTTATCATCGACACACAAGATCAAGTTTGATCAATTACAAGTTCTACAGAAAGGCACTCACAAGTTCACAAATGATAAAGATATGCAATGCAATTAAAATGACAAGTATAATTATGCATGTCTGATCTAGTGATACACACCCAATGTCTCTCAGTTTAGGACCCATGTGGGACATATCTGTCCATGTATCCATCGCGGCATGCGACACGATCCACGACTATAGTATCCATCGCGGCGTGCGACACGTCCCTCAAATAATAATATATGTCGTAGCGTGCGATACTTCCCTTGAATCATAATTACCATCGCAGTGTGTGACACATCCCTTGAATGATACGTTCTCTTTAATTCCTTATTCTCCCTCAGTTCACACAATAGTTGTCACAACTGTATCTCAGAACCAATGCAAATAAGCATGTTCACACAAATAATGAAGAGATGATCATATTCATATCAATACATAATTCACAACAACACAATCGTAATATAACATCAACAATGAATCAATAAACCTCTCAAATCATTCTCAACACATCACACATCAATATATAATCAAGTTGCCTTTTATTACCCTTTTCAGCATTAAGATCATTCAATATGAACAAGTCAATCTATCACCAAGTCTCATTACTCTCCCAACACATACAACAAGGAAATACACGATTCTATACACTTAACAAGGGTCAAGAAATTCACTTGCGTCAAATAATCGAACAATCACTTTGGGACTTTAGCCTTCCCCTTTCGCTGGGCTTCCAAATTAATATAATTTATTCAAATAAATAATCATAATAAGATTTCGTAAATAACAACACTAATATTACTATATATCTAGCCTAGAGCCAAAAACTTATTCAAATCTATAATTAAGTTTCGAAATCTTGATGCCAACTACTATGTCAAGTCTCATATTTCCTTAATTTCAAGCCCAAAATTAAGTCTTAATTCTTTCAAATAACATAATTGTAATGATTTTATATAATACAATACACCTAATATTTAATTTGGTATAACACCGCATCAAAACTCGGATCAAAATATGATACCATGGGGAAATTTTAAAACATCAAAGCCACATTACGAACAATTCATGGGAAACAACAATCTCAGAACCTTGTCTCCCTCAAAATTCCAAAAACAAAACACTGCCTTAACTGCCAACTTTGCTACCTTTCAATTTCTTAATCAATTCAACTAATTAAAACTCCCGTAACAATAGTTGTTCACTATATTATTTTAGAATGTCCAATAATACTTGTCCATTTTATAAAATTAATGATTAATTTTACACTTTAATTCCTAATTTATCCTTATCATTAATAATAGTCATTTCTGTATTACATTTTTCAAGACATTATATTTATTATCCTCAAAGGGTGATCTAGTAAAATTATCATTCTATTTATAGTTTCTTAAGAAATGTGCAAAATTAATAATGAACAAGTATTGTTGGATTGACGAAATATAATACTACTCCCTCCGTCCACAATTGTTTGGCAGGTATACTAAAAATAGATGTTCAAGATTAATTATCAATTTAAACAATCAAGAAATAATTAGTCACTTTTTTCCAATTCTGCCCTTAATGATAGTGTAGTTCAATTGAAAAGTTATGTGGACTTTTGATATTCTTGGTATAGTAGGGTTATATTAGTCCAAATTACACCTTGTATTAAATTTTCCTTGAGGGGTGTGCATGACCTTACCCTGACAAACAATTGTGGACGGAGGGAATAGTAATTAATGATTGTAACAAATGTGAAAGCTGGAAATAAATCTTACCTTCAACTTGATCAATAATTCTCTGCACAGGTGACATGTGGGTTATTTTAATAATTCTAAAATAATTGAGTATTAAAAGTGACAAACTCCCACAAAGTTATTTTAATATATATGGATTAAGTGGTATATGATATTAAATAAAGGAGAAACTACATAAATGATTCACAAAACATAAAATAATTTCATTTTCATAGTAAAATCTGAACTAATTCAGCAAATACCTTGTTTCGTCCATGTAGTTTTTTTTTTTTTTTGCTGACACCTTTTTTTTATATTTTCTAATTGATTTTTAAAGTGGGAAGTTATGTGTTCCAATTTACATTTTCAGCTGGGATTATTATGTGTTAGTTATGCATTGCCATTTTAATTTTTGCCAATGTGGAATTGTTTTTCACGTGGCAATTTATGTGACAATTTTTTATTTTAAAATGAGAGAGAGTAATACACATGATACCACCACATATTACTTAAGATCGTATTTCTCAAACTTATGAGTGACAGTTAAGATGTGTTTCTTACCCTTTGAATAGTTTATTTGTGAAACTAACTAAATTCAAATAGGTTAGATATGTTTATGACACTTCAATCTATTTTTCAATGCTCATTTTAAAAATGAGATTGATGACTAGTTGTTTGTCGAGATGGCTTGGTAATTAATTCCTACTCTTAAAATAATTAAAATGAGATTGATGACTACTCATTTCAATGCTCATTTTAATAAAAGGACACAAGATACGTCGAGATGGTGTTATCGAAGAAATGGAGATATAATTGATGCAGACATGATCTAGTGTTGAAGCTTGATCGTGTGAGTGAAGAAAAACACTGTCGATTATAAAGCATTTCATCGAGTATGCGATCATGGCAAGATAAGTTTATTTCCACTATTTTGACATACAAATAAAGAGAAGCAAAAATTGGAAAACTCTTCCCTTGAAATATGTTGCACTAACAAAGAAAAACATACATAACTATTTTTAAACTAGCCAACCCTCCTCTTTTATTCGCGTTCTGCGTAGCCGCTAGCTAATACCAAAATTTATTGCATAATAATTGATGAAGGCGTCAATGATTTCCAATCTCCACCTCTTTTCTAACATTCTTAGAATCTTTGCTTTTAGTGAAAAGAGCTTCCATTTCTTCCAAAGACTTTCCTTTAGTCTCAGGCAAGAAAAAGTAGAAAAAGATCAAAGCAATGACTGATATCCCAGCAAACATGAAGAAAACACCTGCAATTGTCATTGCTGACATCATTGACAAAAAAGTCATAGAAACTGTTGCATTCATCAACCTGTTAACTGCAACACCAATTCCGACTCCTAAACCCCTATACCTAAGAGGAAAAATCTCAGCAGTATATACCCAAGTAACTGGCGCAAGCCCAACATTGAAAAATGCCACATATGAATAAGTTGTAATTATGCTAAGGACCAAAGTCCATATAAGTTTGCCACCAGATTGCTCTGCCAAAAACAAGAAAGTCCCAAGTCCAGTTAATGCCAAAATCATCCCACTTACACTCGTTAACACTAGCTTTCTCCTACCAACTCTGTCAATCAAGATAGTCGACAACACTATGAATGAGAACTTAGTTAATCCAACACCACATGTCGCAAGAATTTGGTGTTTATGGTCATGTACCCCTGCTTTTGCAAATATTCTGTGACTATATAATATCACAGCTTCAATTCCAGTTGCATGTTCAAAGAAATGAATTCCTATACCAGCAAGTAAAATCCTTTGAAGTGATTTTGTTGGTTTTAGAAGCAATTCTTTCCAAACACCTTCGTCTTGTTTCTTTACTGAATCTGAAATCTTAACAACATCATCATCACAATTTTCATCCATGCCTAAATTTCTTTTAACCTCCCTCAATCGGAATTCAGCTTCTTCAGGAGAATTTGAAACTTTGTACATTATTTCCTTGCCTTCTCTTAGACGGCCTTTCATTATCAACCATCTAGGAGACTCTGGCATTCTGAGAATGCCAATCGCCAAAAAAACTGAAGGGATTGCTGCCAGTCCTAACATAATCCTCCAACCAAATCTCAGAGGCAATCCGGCAAAAACATAATTAGACAAATAGCCAAGCAAAATACCCGTGCTAATTCCAATTTCTGGAAGAGATGACAGAAATCCACGAGTCGATGGAGATGAAACTTCTGCTGAATAAACTGGTGCAATCATAAGTGCAAAACCAACACCAACTCCAGCAATACATCGGCCTAATAATAGAATCGTGTAATTTGGACCGTATCCCATTACAACGGATCCTAAAAAGAAAAGCACCGAAGCTATAACTATAGTGTAACGTCGGCCAACATAATCAGAGGTTCTTCCAGCACTGAGTGACCCAATTAAAGCACATAAATTAAGTATCCCTGCTAGAACTTCTGTTTTCACATCACTGATATGGAATTCTTTTTTCACAAAAATCATTGCTCCACTCATCACTCCGGTATCTGAATTCAAACATAAAATTCTCGTTAGACTATTTTTGAAAACGAAATTTCTTGTAATATAAACAAATCCTAACTATATATCAACATGACTGAAGAAAAAATATATACATTAGAAAACTAACCATAGCCAAAGATGATAGATATCATGGAAGCAACAATGGAACAAGCACAAGCATATTTGTTAATCTTTTTTAAACTTGGTCCTTCACCCTTCTCCATAATTTTTCAATGCAATAATATGTTTGATAATAAAATATTTGATATATAGTAGTAAAGTAAAATACTATTGACACTTAATTCACTACCTTTTATGAACTTCACTAATTTTGAGCCTATATATATAGGGAAAAAAATCTTATTCTAATTATATTTCCTATTTATTTGGGTTTTCAGTTTTCTAAAACGGCTATCTCCTTAATTAATTAGTTGTTAGTTGAGTATATGTGGATAAGAATTGAAAGTCCTAAGATTTCTGCTGTGGCATTTGAACAGCGACCCATTTGTAACGGGAGAGAGAGTTTTATTTGAAGGGAGGTTTCTGAAATTATCTCTAAATTTTATTATGGTCTTTATTATGCTGATCTCAAGACGTATCCACTTATCCATACACAATTCAGATTACGAGAATTAAATTTGGGTTAATCCTAAAAGGTGTTGGATTTGGATAAGGTTTTGATTTGGTATTTATTAGGAAAATTAGTAATACTGTATTGTGTCTTTACATCTTGCAAAAGAGATACATTAGAAAACATTTGTCTGTTTATAAATATTTACCTTTTTTTCCAATATAAAATAAAATAGGTTTGACTTTCAGAAACCACATTTTATTTTAAAAATTAATTAAACGTCGAACTAGTTTTTATTTAAAGTGGGTCTAATGTAAATTCCTTTCAATCCATTTTTACTAGTCGTACTTGTTAGGTTATTTTATAATTTTCCTTATTTTGAAAAATATTTTTATTGGAAGTGTTTTTATAAAAAAAAAATCAAAAAAAATACTTTGTGTTTGGCTAATTAATTTTAAAAAACACTTGTTGTCGATATTAGAATTTATAACAATAGTTTTTGCAAGGTTCCAAAAGTGTTTTTGAAAAAAAAATGTTTTTTTAGATTCTAAAATGTAGTTCTTACTTCTTACTACCACTCAATAACATCTATTTTCCCTAAAAATTGGCCAAACAACTCAAAATTTTAAAACAAACACTTTTAGAAAGAAAAAAAAATTGATTTCCAAAAAATTTGTCAAACAAGCTATGTATATCCCTTAAGGAAACATCAATAAAAAAAAATAGATTATATCGCCCCTTATTTATTACTTAATCTTAATTTAATACTATTATTTTCTTTCATTAAATTAATCTCTTTCCATATTTATTAAAACAATGGATAAGCGTTAGAAAAAAGTTAATTCCATTTTAATTTAAAAAATTACAATTATTATAGTTAAATCAAGTATTTTTAGTAATCCTAACAAGTAAAATAACAGCATGAAATATTCATACTTTTGACCTTAATACTTCCTAACTTGTAAATCTTTGGTTACCTATAAATAAGAGATATCACCAATTTATATCTAAACTAATAAACAACCTACCTCCTTTATGAGCCATAATTTTATTAGGAAAAAAAATATTGATTTTGTCAACTAATTGTATCCACTTTAATTTGAGATCTCAACTTGAATTAGTCATAAATGTTGTAGATTATATTTAATACAAAAAAGATGATAATATACTTTTATTATATTGAAAAACCTTGAGTGGACAACTGGACATTAGTAATTTTGCCAAGTTGAATCTAATTGGTTTTTCTCATGCTTGTTCTAGAAGAATGGATTTATTTACCTCTTCAATTTATCTTTTCTCTATTCAGGGTTTTTCTTTGACATTATTTTTTGTTTTATGTTGTAATTTCAATTCAAGTTTTCATCTCAATTTTTGCCCTAAATCTTCAGATTTTCATTAGATTTCCTAATATTGTCTTCTTCAACTGCAATGTTCTTCTTCAACAATCATTTTCTTTCTTTCATTTCTCTTTTTCGTTTTCTATTTGTTTGTTCTGATAAATCTTTATTTTTATTTTTTAGGCTTTCAAATACTCTTTTGAGTGATTTTCATGTGAGAAATTATTTTTAAGTTAACAACAAATATATGATAATCATGTTATTATTTATATTAGTGTGAGTTAATAATAAGATGTCGACACGTGTATAATATATTATTTTGTATTTGTTCATAACAAATTTTATTTACTTTTATAAAATTTGAATAATTTAATTCAAAGTCTAGAATATTAGATGCCTAAAACAAAATTTCTGGGATAATTTCAGAGATCTCCCCTCAAGTTTGGCCTCATTTTACTAATTTTCCTTATAGTTTTCGATATTACAATTACCTCCTTTATTTTGATGTGAGAAATTTTATGTTGCGTGATAGAGAACTGGTAATAGGTAAACAAATTTCTAGCCCTTTGTTGGACCGGGCTTAGCATGGGCCTCGGCCTATCTAGTATATATAGTGAATTTTACATAAATCTCATAAGGTTCGTTTGGTTTGAAGACAAGTTATGATTGGATTAGTTATGTTGGACTATTTATCTCAGGATTACTTATCCTGAGTTTATTTCTTATTTATTATTTAGTGTATTGTATTAAAGATAATAGGCATTGCATCCTTTCTAAAAAAAATTGTTTGTTTACAAAAATGCTCTCCACATTATTTAACTTCTATACATATTTTTATAGAGCTTTTGTTATAGGCATAGCAATATTTTACTCTAAAAACATTGGTAAAATAGTATTCTGTTGTCCACAAAAAAATAATTATTTTCTGCAATTTTTTTTTACCTTATCTAAAATACGCAAAAACTTGATATCTACAGCAAGCATGCATATATATATATATATATGATAGAATTGGAATGTTTTCCATTTGGCGGAAGATATTTTGGAATAGTTTATTTTGGAAGCATTTTAATCTTAATATTCATATTAATATATAAGATTTGATTGCTAAACAATCATAAACTACAATTAAAAAAGCATAGAAGGATAAAATTTTCATTAAAACAACCATAAAAACTAGATCAAAAACTCCATCAAAGCAGCATTAAAATTTGACAAAAAAATCACTAAAATAGCCTAAACTTAACAAAACAATAAAAACTGCATTTAAATAGCAAATTATAGAAAACAAATTGCACTTAAATAGCAAAAACTGAACAAGAATTGCACTAAGCAAAACTGGATAAAATCTAGTATAAAAAGTGATAATAAAAAGGATTGAAGGGGTATCTTTTGTCATTTGAATTATATTATCCCAAGATAGGTTATCATGGATTTTTATTCCACCAAGAAGAGGGATAACTTATCTCAGTACAATTTACAAATCTAGGGATAAGTTATTTCATCATGTGTAATCAAACAAGAGACTAAAGAGACACTAAAGTTTTATCTCATGACTATTTTTTCTTATCCATCACACCAAATGACCAATTGTGTTAAGAGTTAATTACATCATATTTCTATTCTTTTTCAAATTACAAATATCTCTTAAATTTGGTGGAATCCGAATACATCCCAAAAAAAATGTCTGGATACATGACATCTCGATTTTGAATACATCGTTCAGCCAGGAGGGTGTCCAGTTGGACACCCTTCGTTGGAAAATTACACGGTATATTTAGGTAAAATTCTATGTAATATGAGTATATATAATATTTTGAACACCCTTAAAACAAGATTGTGGTGTAGCTCATTGGTCGAAATTGCTCAGCAAAAATTTGGTTACCCGCGTGTGTTTGTAGGTTCGACTCCCAATAGCTGCATTTTACTTGTCATTTTTTTAAAGAGCAATACTAACTTGCACCTTCACTCACTTAACTTTTCTATGAAATTTGTTATTTATTTATTAACAATTCCATTTTTTTTTATGATTTTTTTATATGATATCTGTTGGGTTTAGCAAGGTGTGAATGGGAAATAAAAAGAGAAAATGGAAAGTGGAAGAACCAATGAAAATGGGGGAACCAATTTTGGAGGGAAAATGATAAGTCATTGCAAAAGTGCAAATAAATAGTCATTTTTACCATATTGGTAGAAGAGAGGAAATTGTTGTCCTTATATTAGGAAACACTTCATTTAGTTCTTAAAGGGTTAAGAAGAAGATGCCCCCTCGCGCCGTCGTCGT